AAGGTATTAAGCACCCCTACAACGCCCTCAATCGGTACCTTATGATGAAGTTAACATGATAAGAATTAATAAATTAAATATTAAATCCCCTTTATTAATATTTATTTACATATTGAAAATTTAAATTATACGACTAATCCTAAAATATTTACATGATTGCGTTTGCTATAAATAAAAAATAGAGATAAAGATAAGAAATAAAAGATATAAAAAAAGATTAATTGAAATACTTCTTGAACGAGCTCTATTGAATCTTCAAATATGAAGAAGGTGCTTTATGGAAACCTTTCACACTACAATATGCCTCACAAATCTCAAGAAATACAATAGGAGAGAAAGAGAGAGAAATTTTGTGCTCTAAGGAGTCTTGGACGAAATTTTTAGGGTCCCGAGAACTGTGCCCAAGCTGTCTATTTATAGGCATCAAAAAGGGTCCAAAACGGCCGGTTCCAAAATCGGAACGGCCCGTTCTGGATCTGACCGTTCCGTGTTAATTTTGTAACTGGAACGGCCCGTTCTGAAACTAGAACAGCCCGTTCCAGCGATGAGATTAACACATAATTGGTTAGGTTGGAACGGTCGTTCCAAAGAAGGGTTTTTATGCCTTTTTCATAACTTGAAACGGCCCGTTCCAATTTTGGAATGGCCCGTTCCAACCTATTATTTTTAGGCCTTTTGCCTGGTTTGGAACGGCCTGTTCTAGTTTTAGAAGGGCCCATTCCAGACTAGGTTTTTAGGCCTTTTTTTGTGGCTTGGAACGGCCCGTTTCGATTTTGGAACAAACCGTTCTAGGCCACTAAAACCAATTTATTTGGGCTTTAGGCCTTCTGATGTCCTATCTTGTTGTTTGCATGCTTCGGAAGCTCCTTCCCTTCATAACAGAGGTCCATTTCCTTGTTTGTATGCCCCCGGACGAAATTGGGTGTCTACATACACTAGGCCTAATGAATTGCTTTTCCTGAAGCTCTTTTATTTGTTTCTTGAGTTTAGTTAACTCCTTAGGGAACATCCTATAAGGTGATACAACTATGGGTGCAGTAACATGTACTAATATAGGGTTCTCTAGGTTCTAACTAGCTCAAGGTATTCCACATTTCCACTACACATGCTGATTAACTAAGAGTCTTAAAAATAGAACTTATACATGACCATAATACCAGCTTCTAATCTTAGTGTAACTCTAAACTGAAGCTAACAACAAATAGTCAACCTTTTTTTTTGCCTTTAACAAAATCTCATGTATCAAACTTTTGATCCCCTTCAACATATTCAACCTAGGATGCTCTAAGGGTTACTCACATGGCAATGAAGGTCCATAACTTATGCTAATGGTTTAACTTTCTAATCCTCAAAGTATACATGTTGAGAACCTAATCAAGGATTAAAACCGTAATTCTAAAGAAATTCTAACACTCTCACTTGAATTTTTGCTTTTACAATTTTTAGTAAAAGATAGCTAAAATATTTGCACCTACCAAAACTTTCAACTTATACTTCTAAACAAAATTCTTCCAATTAATACCTTATGCTAAATAAAAAGAATGTTATGCTATAATATAAATTTTGTTTTCCTTTGCTACAGTGCAAACAACTAAAATGGAAAATGAAAACACATTCACAATTCATATAAGTTTAAAAACGCGCGTTTTTTAGACAACTAAAAATTCATTTAAGTTTAAAATCCTCTCTTCAAATTTTCCTTTGCTACAGTGCAAACAACTAAAATGGAAAATGAAAACACATTCACAATTCATATAAGTTTAAAAACGCGCATTTTTCGGAAAATACTCTTTATTTTTTATAAACACATTCTCAAAAGACTTCTATGTGTGTATTAAAAACATTTAGATGAATTCTGATTTGGGAAAATGAATTATGAATATTAAGATACTATATGTAGATTAATTATTATTTCTCAACCAGCCAATTATGTATAAAAGGCGATTAATAATTAATATGTTCAATTCAAATTTACTTGCAACATACCCCAATAGACCTTGCCTCTTGTCTCCTTATTGACATAAGACTCATCTTTTTTTCTTGTGAGTTGCAATGTATAGTTCACCTCGACTCCAATAGGCGCATTTTTATTATAAATTGACAAATAATATTCTATATATTTTAGACATTTATCAAATTATTATTGAAAATTATCACTAACCATATTAATCATTAAAAATTAATAATAACTATATTATATTGTTATTTAATTCAAATATACTTGAATTAAATAACAATATAATATAGTCATTATTAATTTTTGTGATGTAGTTCTCCCAAGTTTCTTATCAATACTGCAGAAGCAGTTTTTGGAAATTATGTCAGCCAATACAGAATAGTAGTCTCTCTCTCTATACCTCTCTGTGTACTCTGTGAATTCTGTTCTTTTCTGGGCACCAGTTGAATCAATAATCTGAAGTAGGGGTATCCAAATTTGTGGCTAAAATCTAGAGTAGTACGATTAATAGAATGTTTGGTTATCAGTTTTAACAAATCAAATCCATGTCAACCACAATGTAACACATTATTCTCCACTTCATGCTTTCAGATGTGTGAATGTCCATTACAAATTAAACAAACGGTTCACAAACATGTTCTAAAATTGCTGACACATAAGAAACCATACACGAAAATACTTATCTTGGAAAGTGAAGGCATTACTCTACAAGATTATCATGGAAACACAGACAGCTAAAAAAGAAAGGAACAACTGGCATGTGCTATTATAAGAAAAAATGTAAAAAGTCTACTTGGAGGTTGAAATGAAAATATTCTTTAGTTTCCAGTCCAGGATAAGAGATATATCTATCATTACATAGACATGTCAGCATATCAATGAACAAAATGCACATTAAAAACAATCAAAGATCTGACAGGCAGGTGGCTTCTTATTAGCTAGGAATAACGTAGAAGTTTTGATCTTAAAAGATTGTTGATATACAAAAAGCATTAGAATTATCAAACAAAAATTTTCATTGATAATACAATTTTCATTTTTTACTTACTTCCTAAGCATTGAGTAAGCGAGAACCAATGTGACACTTCTGCTTCTGCCCTCAAAGCAATGAACTAAAACTTTTTGACTTGTTTGTTCAACATTATCTATAAAATCACATGCTTAGTCAAATATGTTGCTGATGTTATAATCATCACTATCACATACCTGTTCAAATGGGACAAATGAATACAATCCATATGAAGACATGTTCTTTTAACGTAATATTAAAAGTAAATTTTAACAGAAAAGAATATATTATAAAACTCACGAGAACAAGAATGCATCACATCATATTGGATAGAAAATTTTGAGGCTAGCCTCAACTATTTATTTCTTTTGAGCAAGGTTGACATTTTTCTGGGTCAGAATAAACTATCGGCCAAGGGAGATTAGAACATACTGACAATTTAAACACACAAAAAAAAAAAAAAGGATAGCCAAGCAAGGTGTACCTTGTCAGTTTATTGAGCCCATCATTTGTTAATCAGAAGGATTAGGGATATTTTGGCTAAGGTGGATTCTCAATCCAAATCAGAGATAGAAAGCATTAACGGGCTTGCACCTAAGAAATCAAGCATTGGGTTGGGATGATTGATCAATCGTGTAACTCTTGCCACGTTCATTTAAATTTCAGCACAAGGTAAAACAAACATCATTGTTTTGTCCATGCTTAGAGCAGAAAGATCATTCAAATTTGGAGGTGAGGCTCAACTGATTCTCGAATAAAATAAATTTCAGCAAATAAGATGATAGACTAGGTGAGGGTAAAAAAAAAAAAGTAAATATGACTTACAGAGAAATTCTTGTACTCAAATAGATCATGATACTGAGTTTCTGACTGTCCAATTTCATTGGTACACAAACACAAAATGTTTGTGATTCCCAAGTATTGCAATGTGTATATAGATCTTGCAGCCAGTGCTCCACCAATGAACAGACTACTTGTCACTGCTGAAGGTTTCTCAGTACTTGCTGCGTCTGATATCAACGCAATTCTCTCGAGAATATGCTCAAGTCTGACCTGAAAATTAAAAGGATAATGCATCATGAATGGAAACCCTCATAAATGAAAGGAATCTATTATATTTTAGCTTTGAATGTAATAAAGTGAAAGTAACCTTAAGTTCATATGCATCAACAACACTGTTATTATCACTACCCTCAAAAAATCCTGGATTGAAATTGTTCTCCTGGCATAGTTTAATAGCGTCACTTTTAAGCATTTCATTCCACTATTCCAATTCTTTATTGGATTCAGCATCAACCTGGAAAACATGATACTACTATTTCTGCAGTAGTAAGATGTCTCCTAAGACCCATTCTGCAAATTAATTATGCATAATAAACTTGCAGGAAAAGTATGACTCAGTGTAACCACCAAATTGATATCAACAGGTAAAAATAAGGCTTGCCTTCCAGTGTAGCCAAATTGACAATTCATGGCACATCCAACTTGACTCGAAACACACACAGTCACAAGGTATGACAACTGTTTCTATGACCATCCCATCATCCAATGTGAATAAAATCTGCAATATCCTGTGAGTTGAACAGTCAACAAGAATACTCTCTAGAAACACAACAAAATATAAGCAAGCTATGCAAGTAATTGTGAAGCTTTAAGCCTAAATATAAGTAACCTCCAGGTTGCATATCACTATCTTGCTAGATGGATTAAATGATGAAAAATATGTAAACAAAACAGAGGAAGATCAATTTAACCTTTCTTGTTTCATCAGATGCTGTGTGAATTTCTTTCGGAGCAAGAGCCTTGAACTCAGCATTTTCATTCAACATTTTCCACGTGCCCTCATCTATACATCACTGTCATCTATACATTTTTTATAGAAATCAATGACTTGACAAATCTTTAAGCTTGTCTGTCATGATTGAACATAACAAAAGATAACAAAAATAAAACTCAGACTTTCAATGACTTGAGGTGCTAAGGCAATATACACCTAAATAACCAATGACATTAAGGAAAAGTTGAATCATCAACTCACTCTACAATAGCAAAACCTTGCTCCCCAGACCACAGGCCATTACCATTGTCAAAACCAACACCATTATGAAAGGTTGCTTGGTGAGATTCTGAAAATGGTTTTCCATTCTGTGTTGAATGGACTGCCCCATTAAAATTGTTAAGAGAGTTGAAACTTTCTTCATCAACAGCTTTCACATAGTTAGCAGTTGTTTCACTTTGCTCAACCCGTTTACGAATTAGCATGTTTGCCTCTTGAAGGGTCAAGAAACGAATAAGGTGGCCACTCTCATCAAGTATCGGACCATCTATAACACATATAAGCTTGTCTGCTCCTATAGCCAAGGCACAAGTTGTTGCAACTTCATAAGTACTGTAGAAAACAAAATTCATCGATATCCATTGATAAGCTATTTTTCCTCTATTGGATCACATTCAATTACTGTATAGCAACATGCAAGAGAAAAATAAATTAAACACATTGACACAGGTGTATATCTGATTCACATAAGTAAATGGTTATTTAAAAACTTATATCAGTATTTTGTATTCCACAAGATATCAAGTTCTAGAATAAACTATTTTATGAGCTAAAATTATGGCGTAAAACCTTATAAAAACTCTCTTTTTATTGTTTCGCTGGGAACCAACTTTTGTCAATAATACTAACGCAAGTTGTCCCTTTACTTCATATCATATACAATGTAAAACAGTTCAATTTAGGAAAGGAATACTTCTCATTTATAACCATCACCATTAGGTACCATTAGGAATACGATACAGTAACTTGTTAGCATCCAATAATAGAATAAAAACAAACAAAACCAAACTAATGAAAACAGAAAGGAAGTCACATTTGGCAAGTTCTTCCATTATAACCCAATTCCCTTCTCCAAACTAACAAAGATGCAACTAAGCATGCTACTCTACAAATCCAGGTTATTTTTTCCACATTATTACATATTATTAACATGGAAACATCCAAACAACTTCAAGACCAACAGAGGAATTAATACAGTCTCTAAACCATATAACAAACTGATGGAAGAGCATGGGCTAAAGGCCCAACCACT